AGGGAGAGGGAGAGAAAGGGAGAGGGAGAGAGAGAAGGGGAGGGGGAGGGGGAGGGGGAGGGCGAGGGCGAGGGGGAGGGCGAGGGCGAGGGGAAGGAGGAGGAGAGGACGGAGGAGGAGGAGGAGGAGGGGAAGGGGGAGAGGGAGGAGAGGGACGAGCTGACAAGGAAAAAGAAAGAAAACAAGGAAACAATGAAATCGTTTTTTTATTTTCTTCCTTACAACTCCCCCTGTTCAGAACCTCTTGCGTACAAGGCCGCCCACGTGGATGCGTATATATTGTCACACTATGAATCGGAGCGCGAAGGCGAAAAAAAGCAAAACAAGGAAAAGAAGGAAGGAAGGAAGGAAGGAAAGCCCCACCTGTTCATCACCTCTTTTCCCGTGTCACAAGGACCCACTTGCAAGCAGCCAAAAGGCAAAGAGGTAAAGAAACGGAGGAGGAAACCAGACCTCACAGAGACAAGAGAAAGAGAAAAGGATCCAATCAAAGAAAAGACAAAGGAAGAAAGCAAACGACACATCACACAGATAAACCAATTGCCACTGTCACAACAAAGTTCAACATATTTTTTTCTTTTTTCTTTTCTTCTTTTCTTCAGAAACGTTTCCTTTTTTTCAGAAACTTTTCCTTTTTTTCAGAAACTTTTTTTTTTTTTTTACGCACTAACGTATATATATACTTCTTTCCTTTTTTCTGTTTTGTCTTTTTTCGCCTTCGCTCTCCGATACACGGTGTGACGACATATTCTCCTCACGTTGATAGCTCTCTGCTCTTGCAGATGATGCGGCTAGCGTCGGGCCTGTACTATGGTAGCAGGCGCATGCTCTTCCTTTTGGCAGATTTTACCTTCCTTTTTTTCTTTTACTTTTTTCTGTTTTCTTTTATCTCTTGTCGCCCATTTCTCCCCTGATGAATGTGGAATGGCATCTGTATATTGCGGCCCCTCTGTTGTGGTTCCCATTCTTATACTCTTTTTTATTGTATATACTCTTTTCTATTATATATACTCTTTTTTATTATACTTATATGAATTGTTGTGTTCGTTTCCTCAACTGCGTATCTATTGCTAGTGTCGAGAGCTTTATATCTATCCTACAAGTGAGGTTCGGTTTCGTCATCCTTCTCTTTACCTCTTTGCCTATTGGCTGCGTGCAAGTGAGTCCTCGTGGGTCCTTGTGACACACGGGGATGGGGGCAGCCGGTGCTCAACCTGCCATCCACGTGGCCGGCCTTGTACGTAAGAGGTGATGAACAGGCGGAGCTGTCCTTCCTTGCGTCTTTCCTTCTTTTTTTCTTCTTTTTTTCTTTTTTTTTTTTAATCCTTTTTTCTGTTTTGTTTTTGTTCGCCTTTGCGTAGAAGTTGAATAAGAAGAAGAAGGGGAAGAAGAAGGGGGAAGAAGAAGGGGAAGAAGAAGAAGAAGGGGGAGATCATAAAGAAGAAGAGGATGCTGGCAAAGAGGAAGGGAAAGGAGAGGGGAGCGGGAGGGGGAGGAGGAGGGGAAGGGGAAGGAGAAGGGGAAGGAGGAGGAGGAGGAGGAGAAGAAGGGGGAAGTGGAGAGGAGGGGGAAGAAAGAGGAGGGGAAGATGGACAAGAAGGGGGAGGGGGAGGATGAGAAGATGGAAAAGAGGAAGGGGGAGGAGGAGGGGGAGAAGGAGAAGGAGAAGGAGAAGGAAAGGGGAGTAGAAGGTGGAAGAGGATGATGCACGGACCGGCGAAGCAAAGCATACACGGCGAAACCATCGTGTAAAAAAACGATTTACATCTATGGGTTGTCCACGCTGGCGAGCACGAGTGCAACAAAGTCCATCCTCGAGACAATCTCTCGAAGGTAAGGAGCTTGGCAAGGCCACGGGAAAGCAAACGGCGGACAAGCATGGTTGCCGCAGTAAGATCTGAAATCAAATCATATGCCAATTGTCACAAATCTGCGCAAACCATGCGCAGTAAGCTGGCCGGTGAACACACCTGCAGGTTGATGAGATGGAACGTTTGACGTTGCACTATAGGATATCATATAACAGGAAAATCCACACGCGAGGAAGGGGGAGGGGAAGGGGAAGAAGGGGAAGGAGGAGGAGGAGGAGGAGGAGGAGGAGGGATATCATGTAACAGTCTCATCAAACACACACACACTCAATCGGAGAGATCCGTCTACTCGTATCTGTGCAGATTCGCGGCTAAGAAGGTGCACGAGCCATCAGCCGCAGTGGTCTCCTTCCATTCAAGACCATAACAAGTAGGAAAGGATAGCGATGGTGGCAGACAACCAAAGGTAAGAAAGAACATCATCAATGAACCGATATGTAAAAGCATATCGGCGAGCAGCAGAGGGATCCACACGCTGCAGGTTGTCCACGTACTGCGCCTCATCTCCCAATAGAGTGTAAGGTTAGCAATCTCAGGACCAGCGCAGCGTTTGTACCCATAGGAATACCAACATCTTGATGACGAACAAGATATGTATTACAGTAGTAACAATAAAACGAAGATGTTGAAGAATATATTGTCACACTGGAAAGAGACAAAACAAGAAAAATATATATCATAATAAACGTGTGGTTTTTTGTTTTTGTTTTTACCCATAATATATACGTGTAGATACATGTATATCAAATATTTACGATGGAGAAGAATAAAAGGGCGGGAAAGAAAGAGAGCAAGAGAGAGAGAGAGAGGAAGACATGGAAAAGAAGCAACCTCAGGTGGCAAGGAGATGAAAGAGAGAACTAAGGGAAGTAGGCACGACAGGAACGATGGAAAGAAAATGAGAGGGAGAGAGGGATAGAGGAAGGACGAGAGAGAGCAAGGGGGGGAACGGAGAGAGAGAGAGAGAAAGAGAGAGGGCGAGAGAGAGGGAGGGAGTGCGAGAGGGAGGGAGGAACGACGAGAAGAGAGCGAGAAGGGGGCGGAAGAGAGGGAGGGAGGGAGAGAGGGAGGGTGGAAGGGCGACAGAGAGGAGAGGGGAGAGGGAGGGAGTGAGAGGGAGAGGGAGAGAGGGGGGGAGCGAGAGACGCAGGGAGAGAGGGAGCGAGGAAGGACGACAAGTGCGAGAGAGGGAGGAAGGAAGGACGAGACGAGAGAGGGAGAGGGGGGGAAAGAGAGGGAGGCAGCGAGAGAGGGAGGGAGGAAGGACACATGGCAGAGAGAGCAGGAGAGGGAGGGAGGGAGGAAGGGAGAGAAGTAGAATGGAGGAGAGGGAGGGAGGGAGGGAGGGAGACAACATACCTTTTGAAGAAGAAGGAAGTTCGGTGAATAGAGCAAGCATCGCGAAAGCCTGAAAAGCAGAGCTTCGACGATATCCACGTCGATCGCAGAACGTGCACGACTACGTGACACGTGTCTGCCTCTTTCATTGCCTCCGATATACAACCTGATCCAGAAGCATACCTGGAATAGGAACCACCAATGATTAACGGAGTAACTGAAGCCGATGACGTGGACGGCGACAACGACGAGGAGGAGGAGGATGGGGCAGAGCGCGCCGATTCCCTGGACATTGTAGCTGACGACGAGACCCTGTCACGTGTCTCCACGGCGAGCGTCATTTTCGCGAAAGCATCCCCAGTCGGCCGCCGATCTCGCTAATTAGTCAAAGCGCGCCGACAACGCGTCTCGCGCCGATGACGTGTCTCGACAGAGCGCGCCGATTATGACGTATCTTGACAGAGCGCGCCGATTATGACGTGGCTCGACAGAGCGCGCCGATTATAACGTGTCTCCACAGAGCGCGCCGATTATGACGTGTCTCAACAGAGCGCGCCGATGACGAGTCTGGACAGCAATCGGTTCCGAGCCAAACTCGCTAATCAGTCAGGAAGCGCGCCGATGATCACGTGGACGGCGGCGATCTGGTCCCCGGCCAGTCTCAATCAGAGCGCGCCGATGACGTACCTCAACAGACCCGCGCCGATCACATGTCTCGAGAGAGAGCGCCGACGATGACGTGGACAGCCGCGATCTGATTCCCGGCCAGTCTCAACTAGAGCGCGGCGATGACCTATCTCGTCAGAGCGCGCCGATGATGACGTGGACGGCGGCTATCTGATCCCCGGCCAGTCGCAATCCTAGCGCGCCGATTATGAATCTCAACAGAGCGCGCCGACGAGGTATTTCAACAGAGCGCGCCAAGGACGTATCTCAACATAGCGCGCCGATAACGTATCTCTACAGAGCGCGCCGATAACGTATCTCTACAGAGCGCGCCGATGATGACGTGGGCGGCGGCGATCTGATCCTCGGTCAGTTTCAATCAGCGCGACATGTCTCGAGAAAGCTGAGCGCCGATGATGACGTGGACGGCGGCAGTTAGTCTTCGCAGCAGTACAGCCCTCTCCTTTCCGTTCGTTGTTTTGTGTTTTTCAGTCCCCGTTTCGAAAAGCTGGAGATGACGTGGCAGTCCCAGCACGAGTCAGGTCACTCAGTACCAAGCTCCAATTTCGACACGTGGAGATGACGTGGCAGTTCCACCAGCCAGTTCCACACGTCGAGCGAGCAAGCGTAAGGGCGTACTCACACCAGAGGGGAGGGGGGAACTCCTTTGGCTGAAGGTGCGGAAAATATGGCAAGGTGCAATGCATCCAGGATACCCCCGAGGGTGTGTGAATATGCCCTACGTAATATACTTCTGATCGCCACCCGTCAATTTCAGACCCTCCTCTCCTACCCCTTTTGCATCACTTGTCCATCCAGTCCAGTCCCATCCAGTCGCACGGATCCACCTCGTCTCACAGTCCCACCGAGTCCCACTCACCCAGGGAAGCCCCGCGGGTGTGTGGATGTACCCTGCGTAATGTACTTCCGATCCCACCCGTCTATGCAGTCCCACCTGTCCTACCCCTTTTGCATAACTTGTCCATTCAGTCCAGGCTTATGCAGTCGCACAGTCCCACCTAGTCTCACAGTCCCACCCAGTCCCACAATCCCACCCAATCCACAGCGCTACCCAATCCCACAGTCCCACCCAGTGCCATTGACTTACCGTGAGGGCACGGGTGCGCAGCCCGTAGTTCGTTTGTTGATGTGGTTCGGGAAGGGTAAGGTAGTGATTATGCTGTATGTATGTTTTGTTGTGTTCGCCATACACAACTCAAAGAGAGTGTGTGTGGGGTCCCCGTTGGTGCTTTATTCACGATGTTCATGGGATGCTGGACTCAGTTTCCAGCAGGTGGCGCTCCCCATCAATAGACAGGACAATGTGTGTGCGTGTGTATGCGAGTGTGTGTGTGTGTGTGTGTGTGTGTGTGTGTGTGTGTGTGTGTGTGTG